GGAATAAAGAGGGGTTTACATTTTAATTTATGTCTAAAAAATTTATAATATATTTTTATAATCAAAACCCCATAAATCATTATATATCAGTTGATCCGTCCAACCTGACTGAAACCACAAAAAATAGTTGATTTTGAGTAGATAGAGACCTTAAATGTGCTCTTATATTTAAACATATCTGTAATAACTCATATGAGTAAATGAATAATCTCCGTTCGTTGTCAGGATATATCATTTTAATGTGTCTAATTTTCACTTAAATATCTTAATTTTCAAGTCAATGAAGGCTAATTCAATCTAAATCATTTTAAATCTTGCTATGTCGAGTCAATTAAACTCAATGACCATTGGCTCGACTCGACTTGTGTTCAATTCGACCTCGACGATTTTGATCGGCATAAATTAATACACTTTGAATTAATTAAAATTACATCAACACCAATTAAACCAACTCGAACCCAATCCGAAGCCATCAACTTCGATTGATGCTGGCCAGCTCGTTTGAGTTAATTTGAATCAAATTAGTGTTAATTAAATTAAATGGGCTTAATTTAAATCAAAACTATTTAAATAAAAATTAAGTTTGACACTAATTGAACTTGATCAAATTCATACTCAATTTTAAAATTAAAATAACCTCAATCGGCTTCCATTTATTTAATCAAGTGAGTTTTAAATTAAAATAAAATCAATGTGGTCCAAATTATGTTAAATCGGATTATACCGAGCCGATTTAGTTAGATATTGTCAATCAAAGGAACAAAATATCATTCTGAAAGATGAACACAATGTTCTACGAAAATATTTGAAAAGAGAAATGAGATTTTGAAGTTTTATCGTTCTTGCAATCAAATGCAACAATGAGAATAGTATATCATATTGGGAGATGAACATAATATTCTGCAAAAGATATGAAAGAAAGCATGGATTTCAAAAATTGCGTCATTTCTACAATCAAATACGACAAAGAGAATATAATATCATCTTGAAAGATGATAACGACATTTTACAAAGGTATTTGAAAATAGAAATTAATTTTGGAAAGACTTTCTATGTTCCAAAATATCTTTCTCATATCCTACGAGAGTAAAATAGGGTTATTTTATCTGGAGTTACAGGTTCTCCAAAAGAACAAGCCCTTATGATTAATTACATCCCAAGAAAAGTTAATCTCCTGAGAACACTCTCGATTAAAATAATGACGAATATTTTTAGAATTTCAAAGTTTAAGGCAATGACCAGGGGATTTTAGAATATTTTTAGAATTTCAAAGTTTAAGGCAATGATCAGGGGATTTTAGAATATTCAAAAGGAATAGGATCAAAGTCGAGTAGTTCTTTATGGAATCGAAGAAGTATAAAGAGCATTAGGATTCTGAGACCAATTAGGAGTGCTCCAATCTATCCTATAATTGGGCTTTAATATTTTAGAACGATATTTATTTTGTTCAAGTTGAAATTTTATTAGAAAATTGAGACTAATATTCTTGATCATTGGATCATGAGAATGCCCAAGGATGAGTGGTTATGATATAGGACTAAAATTCAGATTTGAGGTGAATGACTACAAGTAGCTATTCAAACCTAATCTAACAAAATGCAAAGGGGCTACAAGGCCTGACTCTTCTAGAGTTATAATCCTTCCTGGATAGGACTGCTAACTAAGCGCCACCAAGTGCTTTGAAATTATATCTGGTCATATACGGTGCAAGAGAAGATGGGTTGTTGTTTTAAGAAGAATATTGGGATCGACATCTAAGAAATCCTAGTGACCTCGGATCATGAGTGGTGGATCATGCTTCTAAAACTAAATGCAGTTAATGTTTTATTTCTGGTGGTAAGTTAATGTGGTGGGGATTTTATAATTTATATCTTCTTACTTATGTTTCCATGTTGTTAAAGGGGTTTTGTTTTGTTTTGAATAGAAAACTTTTTCCCTAAACACTAGCGAGAACTAGTCTCCAGGCAAGCATGCAAGTGTCTATCGTACACCAGTTTATGTTTTCCTTTGATGTAAAATCAGAGAAGTTTTAGTGTATAAAACACAAAGTTTGAAATGTAGGTCAAAGTTCTAGTGACAATTATTTTATTTCCTAACTAAACGTTTCAATTTTCAGTTCTAATCGAAGTTGTAATCAAATGGGTTTTATTTTTATTTTGAATTTGAGTTTACAATTAATGATTTAAAATTTATAATGAAAAGAAAATGATAAATGATATAAAGTATGAATAGTTAAAGATAATACAAATAAATAGTATATAAATAGATATATAAAAAAAGAACTAAAGAACTTAATCCCTTAACCTGGAGTATAAGGTTACTAAAGTTAACATCTAATGTATGTTAGATTTTTAGGTAGATAGATGTTTGAAAGTTGCAAACTACCCTACTTGGTAGGTATGACGTCCCCGATCAAGATCCCATGGTTGTCCATCGTCCCGGGTTCTTCAATGTACATAACCTACTAGTCGAATGTCGACCTAAGAATCCTTGTCAGTAAACATGAGTTATCTCATCTAAGGGGACCTCATAGGCTAAGGGGTTAGGGAACCTAACCCTAGGCTGACAATTAGAAGGTGCACAGGCTATGGATGGTGAACATATGTCTATGCTATCTAGCCTAGGGTGTCGACCTTATGCTATATGTATATGTTTATGAAGAATGAAGGCTAATTTAAACCAATTGCTTAAGGCTTCTATCTACACTCCACATCACCTATCGGGGTCACAGGTGAAGTGGATTTGTATTCCGTGTCATTCTAATCTATGAAGGAAGATATAGTTGAACCTACGTATATTAAATCATATGATATGAGGTGTCATGGTATAATTACTATAGATAGAAGGTCAGTTTTTTGTCGTAAGGAATATATACATGAAAAAGAGTAGCATCATAATTATCGTAATAATAATAAAAGAGTTTCAAATAAGTGCATTATCTGCTCAAGTATAGAAAATGTAATAATAAAAAAAAAGAATCATGTGTGATATTAAAACTATTTTCAATAATACAATAAACTCAGAACTGCAATCACAAAAAAAATGTGTTAATTCAGCTTATAAACAAGGGGTAATGCAACAAACTGATGTGACGAACATAAAATTGGAATTCACTTCTGTTGTAGATGTTGACCCATACAGCTACAAAAATAATCATAAATTTGATAAGGATTTTTTTTTTTAATTCAGCTCAGATGTGAATTGCAATTTGATCTTTGCTTATTATGCAGTGGTTGAGAAAGCAATCAAATGAAGAGCATCAAGTTCTTGCAAAAGGAACATATTTGTACAGAAAACATTTCTCTTCTATCTGTAGTGGAGGACGGCGGTATGGGAAAGACAATTCTCTTGCAACATGTTTATGAAGATGAAATGGCAGAGGAATTTGATCTTAAAATGTGGGTTTGTGTTTCCAACAACTATGATGTGCAAAAGTCATTGCAGATATGTTGGAATCTCTTAAGAAGGAGAGGCCTCATTTGGAGATGCTTGAGGCATTTCAAGATGGTCTCCGGACTGAGATAATGTCCAAAATTTCTTACTTCTACTGGATGACATTTGGGAGGATGATAAAAAAAATAGGATAAAGTAAACGGGAGAAGGTGCTCGTCCCTTTGGCTTATGAGAGTTTTGGTAGTAGAATTTTGGCAACAACTCGAGTGGACTCAGTTGCATTGATGATTGCACAAAATTGGGTCAAAATGACATATTTCCTATCTTAAGATTAAGCTATATGTTCCTCCCAAGGCATCTACAAAATTATTTTGCATTTTGTTGTATAATTTCCACGAGATCACTGGTTCGATAGAGATGATAAAATACGAATGTGGATTGCATCAGGTTTCATTCCGCCACATTGTTTTCAAGGAGAGGCTGTGGAGAATATTGGAGGAAGTTGCAATTTAAAAGTGCTCAAAAGATTGGAAAGTTAAAAAGGAAATTGGGTACGCATTATTTGTGTTATAAAGAAGATACAGATTTTGATGGGGTACTTGCTCTAATTTTCTAAGTATCGAAAATCATCTGTCTACTGTACATCTATGCTCTGTTCCTAAAAAGGATACTTGAGACAATTGGATATTTGTCACGTCTTCGATACTTGAAGATTCTTCACTCAAAATCTCTAAGCAATCTATATCACTTGCAACTCGTAATCTATGAAAATTGGCAGTTTATTCATCCAAATTTCTTATCGAGAGACATGAATAACTCTACAAAAGTGCATTACATGCAATTGCTATGGGATGATCTCTATGGAATGCATAGAATCGGAAAGCTAAATTCTCTTCAACAACTAGATGGATTTTATGTTAAATATGAGAATGGCTTTAGATTTGTAGAGCTGGAGCATATGAGTGAGCCTCGCCAGTTAAGAATCAAACTTCTTCTTTAACGTGAAGGATGCCGAGGAGGCTTTCAGTGCCAAATTATGTGCCGAGAGATGAAATTTTATTAATTCAGGGAAAATTCTGATTCCGCCAAGTGCGTGCTCAACAACCTTCTATTACACAATAATTTAAAACAATTGCAGATTTTTTTGTTTTATTATTCATGGGCGTCAAGTCTGCAATATGGATGAACAATTTGTTGGGTTGTCCACACATTAAATCTCTTCCTTTGGCTGATGAAATAAGCAAGACTTGCAACATTAAGATACCTAATAATTACAAGCTACTCCAACCCGATTTCCCTTGGCAGACATGGAGAAATGAAGGTTATTATTAATTGCCATCCCGTGCTCAACAATCTCATTATAAATGTGTTGTGGGTGTTACTAATGGATATGTTGAAGAGTATTGCCTCCTTAGAAAAGCTGATTATCACAGATAATATTGATGAGGCTTTGTTATTATACAAAGTTTAAGAGATCAGCCAAGCTAAAAGTCAAACAATAAAGTTATGATCAAATTAATGCTAACCTTATATCAATCAAACTCGTTTTGTCAGAAATCTTTTGAATCCCGGATATTTCGCTGAAGCAAAACCTCCGACAGGGGTAAAGGCGCGGCTTTGTCGTTAAAAGAGAGCAGAAGGAACGGAAGTTTTTTTTTTTACACATAGCAACGCCTTCAAACTTCTGTGCTAGTTCCAGCTCTCAAATACCTCCTCCGATCAGCTCCAAGCAAGTCAAACCGCTTGACCACAGCTGCTCCGAGCCGTTAAACCACTCGATCCTCTAGCCGACGCCTTCTCTGAACTAAACCTCCACCTGCACGTCCCAACCTCTTTGCCGCGGCCGGATTAGGTGGGTTTCTCCTCTTCGTCGTTTCTCACAACAAGGAGATTTTTTTTTTTTAATAAAGTATTCAATCTATTACAAGCCAAGCCACTACCAGACAAAACTCTCATTGCTTTTGATAATCTATTTCCTGAACTTTTACCTTTTGTCAGGTTCACGTGATCACATTGCTTATTTCCCTTCACAACTTTATTGCTTTAACTTTCTTATTTCCCTTCCCATTCCCATGAAATTGTTCTGGCAAATAAAATAGCCCATTATAAACTACATCTGCTTGGCTCATACTACATTTCTTCTTAAAACAGAGAGAGATTTTTTTAGTCATCTATTTTATTATTGCTGCTAGTGTTTATTGTTATTAGTTTTCTTTTTCTTTTTATTAGTCATTAATATTGATATTCATATTAAATGCTAATATTATGTATCAACTTTAATGTTAGTATTGAATATTAACATCAATATTAATTTTGTCCCCATCTTGCAGATACTCCTTTTTTTACTTTATTTTATTGATTGATTTCTCAATGCATTAGATATTGGTAGGATTTTATATCTGCGGCATTATTAATGTCATTTTATTAGTTAGTCATTCATGCCACTGCTGTTAGTTTTAGAAATATGTTTTTAAATACCCATGCATGAAAGAAAAAATGGTATTTAATGATATTTAATGACCTACTCAAGTTGTTAACTAGAGAGGTCTCGAGATTTAGATTTTATTGACGCGGATCAAATCTCCTTAAAAGCTAAACTGGGGCTTCCTTCTTTTTATTTTTTTCCTTTTGAATTAAGATCTAATCCAAAGAAAATTAAATTGGGCATAGAAATTAAATCTTTCTAAATACTAAAATTCAGATATGAGGTGAATGACTACAATGACTACAGAGTAGCGATTCAAACCTAATCTAACAAAATGCAAAGGGGCTAGAAGGCCCGACTCCTAAACAAATAATAATAAAAATAAAATAAGATAGAAGCCCTGCTCTCCTGGACTTATAATCCTTCTTGGATAGGATTGCCAACTAAGCGCCACCAAGTGCTTTGAAATTATATCCGGTCATATGTGGTGCAAGAGAAGATGGGTTGTTGTTTTAACAAGAAGATTGGGATCGACATCTAAGAAATTTTAGTGACCCCGGACCATTAGTGTTGGATCATTCTTCTAAACCTAAATGCAGTTAATGTTTTTTTTTTCTGGTGGTATGTTAATGTGGTGGGTATTTTATCATTTATATCTTCTTACTTATCTTTCTATGTTGTTAAAGGGGTTTTGCTTTGTTTTGAATAGAAAACTATTCCCTAAACACTACCACGAACTAGTCTCCAGGCAAGTATGCAAGTGTCTGTCGTACGCCAGTTTATGTTTTCTTTTTATGTAAAATCATAGAAGTTTTAGTTTATAAAACACAAAGTTTGAAATGTCGGTCAAAGTTCTAGTGACAATTATTTTATTTCCTAACTAAACGTTTCAATTTTCAGTTCTAGTCAAAATTGTAATCAAATGGGTTTTATTTTTATTCTGGATTTGGGTTTGCAATTAATGATTTAAAATTTATAATGAAAAGAAAATGATAAATGATATAAAGTATGAATAGTGAAAGATAATACACATAAACAGTACATAAAGAGATACATAAAAAAAGAACTAAATAACTTAATCCCTTAACCTGGAATCTAAGATTACTAAAGTTACATCTAATGTATGTTGGATTTTTAGGTAGATAGATGTTTGAAAGTTGCAAACTATCCTACCTAGTAGATATGACGCCCCCGATCAAGATCCCATGGTTGTCCATCGTCTCCGGCTCGTCAATCTACATAACCTATTGGTCGAATGTCGACCTAAGGATCCTTGTCAGTAACCATGGGTTACCTCATCCAAGGGGACCTCATAGGCTAAGGGATTAGGGAACCTAACCCTAGGCTGACAGTTAGAAGGTGCACAGGCTATGGATGGTGAACATATGTCTGTGTTATCTAGCCTAGGGTGTCGATCTTATGCTATATGTATATGTTCATGAAGAATAAAGGCTAGTATAAACCTAGTGCCTAAGGCTTCTATCTACACTCCACATCACCTATCGGGGTCACAGGTGAAGTGGATTTGTATTCCGAGTCATTCTAATCTATGAACAAAGATATAGTTGAACCTACGTATATTAAATCATATGATATGAGATGTCATGGTATAATTACAATACATAGAAGGTTAGTGTTTTGTCGTGAGGAATATATACATGAAAAAGAGTGTATCCATAACATTGTAGATGAAACAAAGAGAGTTTCAAATTACACTTTTACCTAAAAGATATCAAGTTATAGCATCATGGTTATCATATATACCTAAGGAAAACATGAACATTTTAGAAAATATAAGTTCTAAGAAGCTTCTATCAATGCAAGACATGTAAACATTGAATAATATTAGAAATATTTAACTAAAACACAAGGACCAGTTATAGCAATTTATTAAACAGAAAAATAGTAACCTTAAGTGCATGGTGGAATGCATTGACATAATACAAACAAGGACCTCGCCAAATAGAATGAAAGAAGACTTGACAATTTTTGCTTAATCAAAATATCATTTCTAAGACACAATTACGGGCAAATGCAAGTAACCATTACATACCAAAAGAGCTCCTTAAACTTCTGTTAATCATATATCCAAATGAAAAATACAAAATTCTCAATTTACGGTTAGTGACATATGTTTCAACAAATAGAAATATTGTATATGTGAGTAAGTGAATATTCTGATTACAATGTACCGGTTAATGAATAAACATATATAAAAAGGAAGAAATTTAAATGGTTGATCTTTTCCTGTTTTTTTTTTTTAATTGTTCAAACAATTATTCAGTAACTTAAAAGAAGACTTTATTCTAAACAGAGAGCAGCCCGCATCCAGACAATTATGAAAGCAAACATCCATATTGGAATATACTTTGTGAGCAAGTAATTTTGTTTCATGTATCTGTGTATGAACATATATATATCTATAACATAAAGTGTACATGTGCCAAAAGTAAGAGAAAAATATGCGGATGAGGTTCATGTTGGCATCTAGGAAAAGAAAAAATTAACAAACTCAAAATGGTTAAAAAAAAAAGAAGAAGAAGTGAAGCATGGAAGCACGCATTTCATCCTTTTTACAAATCTCTCTAATGCATAGAAATTTAAATAACAACACAAAGCACTTTAACGTTTATCTGAAAGTATAGTTCAAGTATCTCAGATTAATTAAAATATCATTTTGATATTGAGAAGTACTTAAAACAAAAAAAACAATAAAAAAACAACTCTTAAGTCGCCAATATTTAAATCCATGCTCAGCAAATTAAAACTCTAAAACTTGCACAACAATATGACACAAATCTCTCCTCTAAAATCCTTGAATATAATTTTGGTAGAATCATGGCAATTGCCTTCATAAGGTTGTTAATAGTTGTATATATATTTGTATAGACAGTTAATTATGCAAAAATGGAGGCTACACATTATGACTCAAAGTCTTCCTTGCTACAGAATAATGTTCTTGAAAAGAAATTGAAATGACTCCAGATTTCTTCTTACAAAAAAATTATGATACAGCAAACAGGGAGAAATGACAATGCCTTACGGAAATATAAGTGTACTATCTACTCAAGTATAGAAAATGTAATAATAATAATAAAAAAGAATCATGTGTGATATTAAAACTGTTTTCAGTAATACAATAAACTCAGAACTGCAATCACAAAAAAATGCGTTAATTCGGCTTGTAAACAAGGGGTAATGCAACAAACTGATGTGACGAACATAAAATTGGAATTCACTTTGCTATAACAAAGCTACATCGTTGATATTCTTGCTCACTTTCATACAGATTCCTTTTATACAGCAGTTGAGGAAAAGGTAAAAGACTTACGAGTTAAGGAAACCAGCAGTCGAGCACGACGAGCGGCGCCGGCAACTGTTCGATCGGGACGTCTGCGCGAGAACACCTTCGGTTTCCAGACGGAGAGAAGACGAAAAACACCCGTCGAGCCAAGGAGACCAAATACGCGACCTAGGGCAGACGTTTGAGGTAATTTATTGCTCACTTTCATACATATTTCTTTTATACAGCAGTTGTGGAAAAGGAAAAAAACTTACGAATTCAAGAAACCAGCAGTCGAGCACGACGAGCGGCGCCGGCAGCTGTTCGATCGGGACGTAGAGCGCGAGAACACCCGTCGGCCAAGGAGACCAAATACGCGACCTAGGGCAGACGTTTGAGGTAATTTAATGCTCACTTTCATACAGATTTCTTTTATACAGCAGTTGTGGAAAAGGAAAAAAACTTACGAGTTCAAGTAACCAGCAGTCGAGCACGACGAGCGGCGCCGGCAGCTGTTCGTTCGGGACGTAGAGCGCGAGAACACCCGTCGGCCAAGGAGACCAAGGGGCTGTTTGGTATCGGATTTATTTCGAGTTTTTAGTAGGATTTACGGTAAATCCAGCCAAACGCAAAAAAAGTAGCGGTAAATCCGGCAAATCCGTAAATCCCGGATTTGCGGATTTATGGCGTAAATCCACTAAATCCCAGTAAATCCTAATCCAGGTAGAAGTCGGATTTACGGGATTTGGCCGAAGAAGCGCGCGAAAGGGAGAAAGTTACCTTCACAGCGAGCGAGCTACCGTCGTTGCTTCAGATCAAAATGTTGTAACGTCCGAAAAAAGTTACCCACTCGCAGCCGAGCTCCTTCCTCCGATCTCCACCAAGCCGCTCGATCCGACTCTAGCAGACGCTCCCCTACCCGGCGCCAAACTCTGCCCTAGCTCCTGTTTTCCGATTCCCCACCAACCAAAGCTCCAGACCCGAACTTCATCTCAGCCACCCCCTTTGCCGATCTAGAGAGCCTACACTCTTCCTCATTTATTTCACTAAGCTGCTAGTAATAAGGTTATTAATACAAAATTATTTACTATTATTCTTAATGTTGTTATTATTTATCTTAGTATTGTCATTAAGATTATTATTATTTAATGATATTATTATTAGTTTTGTTATTAACCATTAGTTATTATAATATTATATTATTATTGTTAGGTATAATAACAATGATAATTTTAATAATAATAATGATTATCATTATTATTATTATTATCATTATTATTATTTTTATTATAACACACCATAACATATATCAAAGATCTAATGGCGCTAAATGAGTAATATTTGTCAGCTCTTCAATATCTTGATCTTATTTAGGATATGAAGCTGTAGATGGCTTGAATTAACTTCTTTTTAATCTGTTAAAAAAATTAGAACCTTTTAAAGATAATTTTTTATGTGATAAGAATAGATCATTTTCTTTCAAGAATTTCTTTAGCATTGTCAAGTTCTTTCATATCAAATTCAGACTTTAACGCATGTTTGAGCTTATATTTTTCAAATGTCTTTGCAGGATAGCATCATTCATCTATATACATTAGCAAGTATATAAGATTTCCAAACAACCACTGATTGAATTTCCTTACAGAAAAGAAAGGACATTAATTTGAGTAAGAAACTCCTCAAACAAATTTTATAAAAGATTTTGTTAAGCAGAGAAACTGCAATTGGAATTTATGTAATAAGCATGGTAGTAATTGGTAGGTTCCAAATCCATCCTTTAAAGGCTCTCTGTTCCTTAGTGGAGGAGGTAGGTAATAACTTTTTAATGAAGAAAACACAAAAATGGGATCTAAATGCTTTTGTGAAGTTATGCCAAAGAGAAGTAAAGTTTGCAAGCAGAGATTATCATTTATCAGTGAAGGCAGCCATGTCGCCTTATGATAAAGCAAAAGCTTTGGAAAAGGCAGCTGGACCAGAAAACGAAATAGACCGAAACAGAGTTGGATATTTTTTTTTTAAATCGTATTTTATATCGTAATTTTTAAAGGCCATCACTGTCAGCATACCAAATTCTGCCTATATTGGTAATGCAGCCATAATTAGCAGCCAAAGATAAATTAATTGTATTGATTACATATAGGGATGTAAGTGAGTTGAGTTGAGTTGAGTTGTATTTTTTCTTAATCAAGCCTCATTTAATTTATATTAAGCTCAAGCTCTGTATCGTATGAGATAGAATCTAAGCTCGAATTCGAGTTTGTGGTTTGATAAACTCGACTTATAAGTTTTTTAGCGAGTGAAATTCAACCTACTTCACGGGCTGATTTGACTCATTTAGTAAGCAAATCTTATGCTCACGGCAATAACTTACCAATTGAATTCCAACATATCAACAAAAAATAATCAATTTTCTTCTATGGAGAGGATCTTCATTTCTGCTTTGTCTTATGCTCATTGGCACCCTAATACTTTATTTGATTAATTGCACACTGAACAATACAATATTATTAACTTTAAAATTGGAAGTAGATTTCAAAAATATCAATGATATTTAGAAATGGTTTTATTAGATATTATCCGAATAAGTTTTATATTAGAGAATTTTTATCCTTATTATTTGGTATTTTATTATTTAAAAAAGTAATATTGTTTAAAATATTTATGCTGATTAAGATATTATTTTGGTCATTTCTTTAAGTTCGAAGTGACAATGGAGTCATTTTTAAGTATTATTAAAGATGAATTCGTGTATGATTTTTTTTTGAAAGTTATAGCTATAAAATTAAAATTTAAGTTTTGTTGAGACTGTTTTCTTATTGTTTCTTAAAGTAAATTTTTAATATAAAAATTAAAATTTTTATACTAGAAAACTGCTTTAACAAATGATAAGAAAGTCATCTCAAATGAATTCATAATCACATTATGTTAAATTTATCTTATACCAAACATTATATATAATGCAGACAAAACAGCACAGAGACATGATTTTTTTAAAAAAATATCTCCTTCAAAAAAATTGGATTTAATGTGTTAAAAAAATTTGTCCATAAAAACAGCTTCATATTTAGAAAATTTTGAATATAAATGAACATGAGAAATGTTATTTTATCTAATTCTGATGTTGGTAAATATTTTCAGAAACAGTAAGTGGGGATTAATCTTGAGAATGAGAGTAATAATAGGATAGTATTTTTTCTACTTTATTGTTCTCAAATACCTCGAAGCGAGGAAGGTTAAAGAAGGTAGCCTTGCTGAAGGCACCTGTGATTAGCAATTCCTTATTGTTGAATTTTGCAATTAAAGGATTTGATAATTTAATGATTCTTTCTGCAAATAGAAGAAAGCACAAAAAAAAAAAAAAAAAAATCTGAGGTAGGACTAATAATTAATAACTTCCAGCCGATCTTGTCTCTCTATTTCCGCCCGCTTCCGGCTCTCCCCTTTCTGCTCGAATACCTTTGTGCTATCGTCAATCGGTTCTTGTCGTTTGTCCCTAATCTGTGCTTGCTCACTTGGAGGAAGCGAGGAATCCGTTTTTCTTCGACTTCTCAGCTCTGGTACGTCATCCTCATCCGCCTGCTCTTTTTTTATTTAGTGTTCTCTTGTATTTGGAGAAAGAATCATTAAATTATCAAGTCCTTTATTAAAAAAATCTTGCTTTGTCCTTTCTTAATTGCCACATTCAACAGAAAAGAATTGCTAATCACAATTTCTATCATAATCTAATTCAGTTGCTTACTTGCTTGTAGATGAAAAGCATCTTTAACAAAAGGATGATTTCATTTTTCACTCGTTTTGATGGTGAGTATGGAATCATTGGATATGAGGAGTTTTTGGAGGTGTTTTTATAATTTTAAACAAATGCTAATGTCTAATATTGCATCCTTCCAATGATAAAATTTAACAAGTTTCACCATTTTTAAAGTATGATTTCTAACTTCAAGCAAGAAATTTAACGGAGAGAGAGCTCACATTGATTCTGTGAACATAACCACAGAAAAGCCATCCTAAGAAGCCCACCAAAATAAACACCATAAATAGCGCTGATTGGAAACCGAGAAAGGGGTACCCGATCAGAAAAAGCCATCCTTAGAGACCCTCAAATAACTTATATTCATATATTTGGGTTATTTTTATCCATCTGCTATTCTGCTGCGATACTAAAGGTTGAAGCTTGACTAAGAATGAACATTGTGCTCGTTGTGTAACACTTAATTTGTGACAGATTCATTAATTCCTAAAGCTTATTAGAATTTAATGTTATATTATAACCAATTTTATAATATCAATCTTAATCCTTACATATAAATAGGAGATACATAGTCAAGCTTAAGCACATTCAATATTGAACATTGAATCAAAACTCTAACACATCAAAGTCTCACATAAAATCCAACTAAATTCAAAACTTACAAATAATAATTAAAAAAGAGAAATACATCATCCCTGTCTTAATTATCATATTGTAGTTATATATCCTTTGTAACTTGATGTGCTTGATTAGTCAGGGTCCAATCTTACCTAAATCCCGAAAAGAAATTTGGAACTGATTCTCAAAAGTGATTTGTCCCTATGCTGATGTGTATGTTATAGTTACATTTTGTAACTTGATGATCATATTGGCACAAGGTCCTAATTTTCAAAATTGTCGCACTTCAAAAATTCACCCATGTTCTGAAATACATATTGTAGTTGCATTCACTTGCAGCTTGATGTGTTAGCTTAAGATAGGGTTCAAAAAAAAAAAAACTCTCATTGAAGTCCGAACATTATATTGCAGTTACATAATCTTCGTAGCTCGATATATGTGGTATGACAAAAAAAAAGGGACAAAAGTCAGGTTAAAAAAAAAAAAAAGATTTTCGTCAGAGAAAGCAGTGGGTTTGTTTCTTTCAAAGGAAATTTACCTCTATTTTTTTTGAATCATGCTAGAAAATGGGTTGTGGTTGACTCCTCTAAACACTAAGAAAAGAAGGCCTATGATAATCAATGCTAATAGAAAAGTTTTTTTCCTCACTCCCGCCGCTTTTGTGGGTTGATGTTTTGTGTGAAAAATTTATTTCATCTAGCTTTGAAACTTCGCATTATGACCTTCCTAACCTTAGGAATGTATTATTACTGGTTGATGTGTTGAGGTTTGGAAATCTACTTATAACTGGCCTAATCACCTATAATCAAAGAGCTTGGAATGCCTTTTAGTCCTATTTCTTAAGGGTTACATATGAATACGAAGATTTGCCATGTGGGTTAACTCCAATGAAAAGTGGAACTTAAGGTATGTGCTAAGTTGAGCGTCCTTTTTATCCATCATATTAAATCCCCATTTGCTAATTTGCAGTTTTCTCTTATAGTGAAATTTTCAAATCAGACTGTAGCTAAGTTTATTCTTGGCTTTATCACTCCATTTGAGAAAACTCATGTGGTATCCTTGCTAAGATTGATCATCATAATTCTCTTTTTAAGTAAAAAACTTAGGATATTTCAAGGTTTATTACAAGAGTTAAACTATGATATAGTAAACATTCCCTCTATCATGTGGTTTGATCTTCTCAAAATTAACTGATGGACCATGAATTGATACTAAGTCAGGTGACTTTATAATGCCTTTGAAAGTTTTCTTCTCTTATTATTGAAAAAAAGCATATTTGGGTTCACCCAATATTTATCCATATGTATTTTCTTTTGAATTAAGGTCTATATCAAATTGAATTTTAGATAGAAGTGGATGTCTTGTTCATCTCCTTGTTGTTATACATGTCATAGGCATCTTGAAAGTTGATGAACCTGTTTCATAAATATTTCAGTTAAGTTGTTTATTCCTATTATAAGACAGGGTCCGATTTATAGATCCATCATCATTGTATAAGAGGGTTAATTTTTTGCTCTTATGCTTGGAAGATGATTTTACAATTGGAATAATCATTACAAGGTTTGAGAAAAGGAAAGCCTCCTCTACAAGAGAGAAAAAAATATCTAAAATAATAACAACCAAATAATAAGATAAATTTAAAATAATGTGATTATGCAATGCTATAAATAACTACATTTTGT